TTTTATGCATTCTGGCAATCTGTGTCTTTTGATTAGAGAGTTTACTCCATTTACATTTAAAGTAATTACTGATAGGGAGGAATTTAATTCGTTCATTTTGTTACATGTTTTTTATATGTTGTGCATCTTATTTACCTTTTGTTTCCTGCATTATTGTCTTCTTTTGTGTTTAGTTCATTTTTGTAGTGAAATATTTAAATTCCTTTCTCATTTTTTTTTGTGTACATTCTACAGCTATTTTCTTTAAGGTTGCCATGGGAATTACATTTTATATTTAAAGTTATAACACTCTAGGCTGGGCGCAGTGACTCACACCTGTAATCCCAGCACTTTGGGAGGCTGAGGCGGGTGGATTGTAAGGTCAGGAGATCGAGACCATCCTGGCTAACGTGGTGAAACCCCATTTCTACTAAAAATACAAAAACAAAATTAGCCAGGTGTCGTGGTGGGCATCTGTAGATCCAGTTAATCGGGAGGCTGAGGTGAGAGAATGGCATGAACCCGGGAGGCGGAGCTTGCCGTGAGCCGAGATCACGCCACTGCACTCCAGCCTGGGCAACAAAGCAAGACTCCATCTCGAAAAACAAACAAACAAAATAAAACAAAAAGTTATAACACTCTGAATTTATACCATCTTAACTTGAGTAACATACAAAATCTTTGCTCCTTTATAGCTCTGCCCTCACCTCTTTTGATTGTTAATGTCACAAGATTACGTTATTAAACGTTGTGTGTCCAAAAATGTAAATGAATACTTTCTTTAAATGCATTAGTCTCTCAAATTATTTGAAAATAAAATGTGGAGTTACAAAGCAAAGTTACAATAATGCTAACTTTCAGATTAATATGTTTTTAAATGTATTAATCTCTTAAATTGTATAGAAAACAAAAAGTAGAGTTACAAACCATTAGCTGATGAATTTGTAAAACCACTGGCTTTTATAAGTGCCTCTGTATTTACTTTTATTAATATCTTTATTTCTTCATGTGGTTATGAGTTACAGCCACAGGTCTAGTGTAATGAGCTAACTCAGCTTTTGCTTATCTGGAAATGTCTTAATTTCTCCCTCACTTTTAAAGGACGGTTTTGCCAAATATAGGATTCTTGGACAACAGTTTTGCTTTTTTTACTTTTAGCATTTTGAATATATTGAACCACTGCCTTCTGGCCTTAAAGTTTTTGATGAAAAATCTGCTGATGATCTCATTGAGTATCTCTTGCGTGTGATGAATTGCTTTTCTCTTTCTGATTTCAAGATTCTTTTTTTGTCTTTGTCTTTCAAAGTTTGATTATAGTGTGTTTTTGTATGAGTCTCTATCAGTTCATTTTTCTTGGAGTTTGTTAAGCTTCTTGGATGTTTATATTTACATCTTTCCTCAAATTTGTAAAGTTTTCCACCATTATTTCTTTAAATATACTCTCTGCTCATTTCTGTCTCTCTTTCTTTTCCTTTTGGAATTCTCACATTGTATTTGTTGGTCTGCTTGATAGTGTCCTATAAGTCCCTTAGGCTCTATTGACTTTTCTTCAATTTTTTTTTCCTTCTGTTCTTCAGAGTTAATAATTTTCATTTTCTTTTCTCAGATTCACTAGTTCTTTCTTCTGTCTGCTCAAATCTGCTTTTGAATCCCTCCAGTGAATTTTTCATTTCAATTATTGTTCTTCTTAACTCCAGAATTTCTTTTTCTCTCCTTAGGTTTTCTGTATCTTTATTTATATTTCCATTTTGTTCATGCATAATTTTCTTTTCTCCACATCTCCCTTTAGTTCTATGAGCATCTTTAAGCTATTTTTAAGGTATTTGTCTACTGTATCTGCCATGTGTTTTTTTTCAGGACGTGGTTTATTTTTATTCTTTAAATGGACCATACTTTCCTGTTCTTTGTATGCCTTCTGATTTTTTTTGAAAACTGGACTTTTGAATCTAGTAACGTGGTAACTCTGGTAATTAGATTCCCGTCATTTCCCAGAATTTAATGTTTTTTTGTTATTGTTTTTGTTGATTGTTATTATTTTTTATTGTTGTAGGCTATCTCTGTTCCAAGGATTAACCTGAAACATAAATTTAAGGTCTTCTCAGGTATTTTCTGAGCTTTTTCCTGGACATGCACAATCACTTTCTAATTTCTCCCATATATGCAGTTGTTTTTGAATGTCTGGCTCCCAAAAGAGGAAAAAGAGAAAAATGAAGGGGAGAAAAAAGAGCACTGGCCCTTTAAGTCCCTTAGAAGTCACTTCAGCTAGTAGGGAGGTGCTTGCCACAGTGGGGCTAGGTACAACAACAATGGCTGCCCACCTCTGTCTGTACCTCTGTGAGCAGAAGCAGCAATCAACGATTGATCAGAGCACAGATCTCTACTATTTGGAAGACAGGGTCCTTTTTGCCAACCCTGGCTCTCACAAGCTATGTACAGGTTGTTCCAGAAACATATGCACATTTACCAGTTACAGAGCTGGGACTGGGAATGGGTAGATGGTACTGTGTTCAGAGTACTGAAATTAACTACAATTTATTGTTCAAGCCTTCCCCTGGAAGTTGCAAGCCTTCAGTATATTCTAGTGTTCCAAAATTGTTACATCACACTGATTTGCCAGCTCAATTGTTATCTAAGTAGAGAGACAGGTTCCTTGTGCTTCCCACTCTGTCATCCTTCTGGAATCCTCTTTCCACAGTTGTTTCAATAGAGTGATGCTCATCCTTTTTCCTTACATTACAGTCCACAGGCAAGAAACTGAAATTCTGTGCCCAGATGCAAATCCTTAGCAGAATCAACCTGTGCCATCATTGTCCCCTTGATAGGTGGAGCCATCAAGCACATTGCCTGCCACTATCAGGAAACCTGCACAGTTCTGGATCAGTGATTGCTAATCACCTCTCTGTAGTCCACACAAGCCATTAAGAGTAGAGCATGTAATAAAAGTACTTTCTTTCAAATATGGAACTTGGCATTTTGATGAATCAGAAAGCAGAGGAGCCTCTAGAAAATGCTGGCAAATTTCTTTGGGAGCGATGCTAGTATTTTTCCGGGACATGTATGATAGTAATGAACATAGGGATTGGTATTCTATCATCATCCCTGCCAGCAGCATGGAAAGTGTTATCTCTGGGAAGCATAACTTTCAATTCTTGTGTCTTAGTCATCTGGGCTGCTATAAACTGGGTAGCTTGACAGAAATTTATCTCATTTTTCTGGAGGTGGATCAAGTTATCTGTAGATTCAGTGTCTGGTGAAGGCCTATTTCCAGGGTTATTAATGGTGCCTTCTCACTGTGTTTTCCCATGGTGAAAAGGGCAAACAAGCTCCCTTTGGCTTGTTGATAAGCCATTTATGAGGGCTAATCACTTCCCAAAAGGCCCCATCTCCCAATACCATCACCCTGTGGTTAGGATTTCAACCTATGAATTTGGGGTGGGAAGACATAAACATCAAGGCCGTGTCATCTTGTCTCAATTTTCTATCCTAATCCCTTCACTCATATGGGCAATTAAAGTCCCAGAAAACTGACGGCCTCAGGAAATTTTGTTTCAGTGTCATTCCTATCTGGTAGTTCTCAGGTATTGAGCGAAACCTAGGGATGTGAATCTTTGGGTGTACACATATTCTAGGAACTATTGAAAATTGCATCCTGAATTGGCCAAGTTAAATAGACTTAAGCTGGGCTACAAAATCCAAATAGGCCTAGATGAGTGGAGATGATCAAGTTATGAAGGCAGACAGGGTAGAGGATGAAGAAAGCCAGTGCATAGGAAGGGTAGAAGCAGGTGGAAAAAAGAAATCTCGAGGAAACTTTAGAGCCAGAATCCAAATGTTCATGGAAGCATTTTATTTGGTGCCCATGACCACTGATACAAAAAAGCCAAAGCAAAATGAATGTGCAACTCCAGTTTCAATAATATCAGGCCTTTTCAATGCTACAGCCTTATTATCTTGCAAATTTATCCCCCTCTCCCGACCTCATGCAGTTGGTTCCTAAGTCTGATTCTACCTCTTTAATACTTAATCTATTTCTCTGATGACCAGAGTAATCTAAAACAAAAATTTGATAGTTACTTTTTTACTTAAGTGCTTCAATGCCTCCCATTTCCTAAAGGCTTAAATATTAATATCTAAGGTAGTATGTAAGACTACTTATGATTCTTGCCCCCTGCTTATTTTTTCTTACTCATGTAACACCATTTCCCCTTCCTCTCTAGCCGCAGTGATGTACTGTTAGTTCCTAGAATATGCCATTCTTATACATTCCTTTGTGACTCAGTTCCTCTGGATGTTGTCTGGAATATTCTATTCTTGTCTGTCTGCAAACTTCTCCTGGTCCTCTAAGACTTTCTGTCTCTCTGAAGGCTTTACTGACCTACCAAGACAGAGTTGAACACCCCTTCCTCAGGACTTCTTTTATATCTGGCACACAGCTCTATTTTAGCACTCACTGAATTATAATGATTTGAAAGTCTGAGTGTTTCTAGAGAGCACATACAATGTCTAATTTACTTCTATGCCTTGAGAACCTGGGACAGCTCTTGATACATAGTAGGGTCTCAGATAGGCTTTGAATAAACAATATATTTTTGTTTAAAAGCAAAAGGAACTTGTCAACAAGTTCATGTTGTTGATAATCTCTTAGATTCAATATTTGATGTCTGAAGTATATGATGTTAATTCCTTCCTTGATTTAACATGTGTTTATTGAAGATCTATCCTAAGCCAGAAATGGACAATGATCAACAAAAATAAATATGTACTTTACTACTTTTACAGAGTTGAGCATTTATTGGGGAAACTTACTACTATTTTAGAAATTATTAAAGAAAATATAACATCTCTCAGGTTTGGCCCATGATAATAGTCTGAGATTGTCCCTAACACAAGCTTTCCTGAAATATGTCAAAGCCTTTGCCTGTTGGACTACTTTCATTTCTTGTATGCTGCAGGCTCGCCTCTTGCTCTTCAGCATACAAAGCCATTTTGGTTGATAAACACAACAAATTAAAAATCAAACATGCAAAATAGTAAAACATCTTGTTTTAATCCAAGCAAAATTTTGTCTTCAGAAATGTAGAGGGTTGGGATACATGAGTAACTTTACAATTTACCAAATGCTTTTATATTTATAGTGGTATTTGGTTTTGCTTATAGGAAAACCAAAGGAATGTTGGGGGAGCATTCAAGAGTCAACAAAACAGAATCATCTTCTTAGGCTGGAGGGACTACTATTTTAGGCAGTGAGAGGTTACTGAAATGTACCCAAGCAAATAAGAGTCCTAGTCTCTGCCCACAGCCAATAAGACACTAACTTCTATCGCAGGCAGTGTGACTAGAGGAATGAAAGAGGCTCCCAGATCTTGGCATTTTGGAAATGGGAAAGGAAAACAAAAAAAATGTATATTCCTGTGAAAATCAGATATCAGAAAATTGAAACAAACACAGTCTAGGTTCCTACTGTCTTGAGCTCTCCAGAGGGTTATATTCTGCTTCCTTCTCATTTAGGGTTACCTAAAAAGAAGGGCAGAGTTAAGAGCAAAAATGTATAGTTAGGTCCATTCAAAGACATAACAGCCAGCTCACAGGGGACAGACATTCTTTTTAAAATGTTCCTTGAGACAGGGGTGTATCTTTCTTGAATTTGGCTATACCTGTTTTCCTCCAGCCCCTCAGCTGGAGGTGGTAACTAACTAGGAATTACTGCCAGAGAAGCAATTTCTTCCTTTTAAGTGAAGTGCTGCTATGGCAAAGACATGCTGCTTCAAGGGTTAAACTTTAAAACACTCATTTTGATATATAAAGAAATTGTAAATAAAGCACAAGGCAAAGTTGCAATTTCAGTTTGTGTGCAAAGTAGTAACAATTTCCTAAACTGATGCTGTTGTTTTGCTTAGTCCAGAGCTTTGAAAACAAACAAGTTTTACAAAACCTGTATTAAAAATGTAACATTAAGTGCACTATTACTATTTTCCTCTCTTTTTCTGGGTCTCAGAGAAGATGAAGTTTTCTTGATTATCTTTTTAAATAAAAGTTGTAGGCCAGGTGGAGCTTTCAAGGTGACTTTGTCTGAGACTGAGGGAAGGAAGGAAATGAGGAAGGGAAAAAAACAAAAAACAAAAAACTACAGATTACTTCATACCTCTTTCAAGCTTAAACAGAAATCTACTTTGGCTTTCTAATAGACTAGTTTTCCAAAAGAGAGCTTGGACTTTGGCTAAGACCCCTCTGGAGTCACTGACTTGTCCATTAGATACAGTCTCAGGAAAGCTAATATAATGACACATTTCGTCTATAAACTTAAGTGCAAAATAACCAGGTACAAAACTTTGGGTTCTCTATCTTAAGAGCAGCAAATATCTATGTTCTTTTCTCAAAACTGGATCCTGTCAATTTCCGGAATTAACCACTTTACCATTGTGGTTTGCTTGCTTGTTTTTGTTGGGCAGAGTTGCAAATGTAATGAGGGAAGGGGGTTCTTGCCCTGGTTTAGTACCAGGCAAGGTTACCAAGGGGGCTCATTCTGGTTCCAGAAAGCAGAGCTGGTCATCCTCATTCTCCAGAACTGGGAGTGGATCATTCCCACTCCCCGGAATCTGGAGTGGGTCTTCCCCACTCCCCAAAACTGAGAGCGGATCATCCCCACCCTCTGCAGAAGAAAGACAGTCAGGGCCAAGCTCTTTGCCCCCTGCCACTTTGGACTTGATTGTCCCCATCAGACCTTCAAAAGATCTGAATGTGGCCGACTTCTTTATGCCTCCAAGCTTCCTGCAGAGGGCAGTGCCCATGGTGGACAGAGCAGCTGACGTCTTCTGTTCCACATAGGTGTTGGAGACCTGAACATCAAGCCAGCTCTTGGATAGATTCTGTCTCAGTCCTACCAAAGCCGTGAAGCCTAACTTCCTCTTGAGCTTCCCACAGCGTCTGTCTTTGGCTGCTAGTACGTGGCGTAGGGTTACAATTTCAGCCTCCAATTTAGTGAGTTTGGCTTTGAGCTCTCTTTGCTCAGGCTCTGTCAGATCCTCCAGTTCAGAAGTCGAGTGGGATTCATATGTGCCCACAGAGGTCTCTGTCCTGGCATGTGGCATGAACTGGAAAAGAAGATCTTCATTAAGAGAGTCTAGGTTCAATTCTTGGTAGAAAGAGTCGAATTCTTGGGCTGCAGAGAAATAATCTTGGCCAGCAGAGTCGAAACCTAGGCCTGCAGGCTCAGACTTTTGGTGGGTGGAGTCAGATTTCAGGCGGGAGAGATCCATGACCCAGCTGGTACAATGGACCCCTTGGCAGTTGAGTTGATGGCCTGGCCTGTGAAGTAGACGCGCTAGCTCGTGGTATTCACTTCCGGGTGGTGGGGGTGGGTAGCCGGTCAGGTCAGGGTTGCGGAGGTGGGACTTCCCGTCCAAAGTGCGAATCTGCAGAATCTGTGCTCAGCTGAGGCGCAGCCCACACTGGCAGCATCTTGGCATCGCAAGGACCTCATGAGGTAGGCAGTGCAGAGATTATTGTCGAAAGGAGAGAAATTTCTCCTGACGCAGTAAGTGACAAGCCCTGGCCTTCAAGCCAAAGCGTCAGGCAACTCTTTTCCACACCAGCAGTTTTCCAGCACTTGAAAATCATTTAAACATCATTGTGCTAGTATGAGTTTTCAATTTTGTAGTTGCATTTTCTTTATTCCCCCCTGCCTCCACTCACATTTCTGGAAGCATGTCTGCCCACGTTCAAGGTTACCAGTTGTGGGAGGTAGTCTGCACAGTAAAGTAAAACTAGTTAAATAGGATCTATCAGAGTGTGGATCCACTCTTCCCCTCCAACCTCCCACCCTAACCTCCCGCCAACCCTAATTTTGCCCAGAGTAAACTTATGCAATGGAAAAATCAGGACATTAATCCAGTGAGGTGTTGTGGTCTGGCTTCACTTAACTCATTCTATGGCTGCCTATTCTCAGAGAAATATTCTTGAGCAAGTCTTAGATTCTAGTGATTTTGTTGGATATTCTGGTAGTGCTTGTGAGCATGATCTTGTGGAGCATAATTTGATCCTCAGCAAATTTCAGCAGTTTGCCCTACTCATGCCTATGTGGCTACAATGAAGCATCTAGCTATGCATTCAAACCAACTTCAGCCCTCCTTTGAGTTTATGTTCTATAACCCTTTCACATAATTTAGTAGTGTTTATTATTGTCTTGTCCTGAATGGTGTGTTTCCCTAAGTTAAAAAATGAGAATTGTTCTTGTTGTAAACGTGAAGGCTGATGGGGGATTTGGCTATGTGTTTAAAGACGTGAAAAGGGCAGCAAGGGCTCCCTAAAAACCAATTTGTTCTAAAGGCTAGGCTTTTCCTCCATTGCCTGTAGAAACACTGGTGGCTTCAGGAACACTCCCAGACTCTGAATCAGAACTCCTCTTTCAAACCTGAGACTAAAGGGTAAAGAAATCCCTGAATTATGCTACATAATATGGAACATACATTCTCTATTCAAAGTTGAGACTCCAAGTCACCAAATCTGAACTTGCACTTGATTTTACTTCTCTGCATTATTTCAGCCACCAACCTTGATGCCTATTTTCTTTATATGCTTCCTCGTCCTTCAATGTAAAATATGAAATATTTTATTAAGCCTTGATTCATTTTGATAGAGTAATGGTTTTTTTCTCATAGCAAAACTGAACTTTTCAGATACTTGGTTTCCAGATCCCACATCAAGACATACCCTCTCATTCAAATAGGAAAAGAAGAAGTAGAATTATTTCATTTTGCAGATGATATGATTCCATATCTAGAAAACCCCAAAGGCTCTACCAAAAGGCTCCTGAAACTGATAAATGACTTCAGTAAAGTTTCAGGATATAAAATCAGTAGCATTTCTATATATCAATAATGTTCAAGCTGAGAACCAAATAAAGAATGCAATCTCATTTACAATAGCCACAAAAAAATTAAATACCTCAGACTACATCTAACCAATGAGATGAAAGATCTCTACAAGGAGACCTACAAAACACTGCCAAAAGAAATCATAGATGATACAAACTAATGGAAAACATTACATGCTCATGGATTAGAAGGATCAAAATTGTTAAAATTGCCATACTGTGCAAAGCAATCTGTGGATTCAGTGCCATTCCTTTCAAATTATCAATGTTATTTTTCACGGAACTAGAAAAAAAACTATTCTAAAATTCATATGGAACCAAAAAAGAGCCTAAACAGCCAAAGCAACCCTAAGCAAAAAGAAAAAAGCTGGAAGCATGCTGCAATAATCAGAACAGCATGGTACTGGTACAAATAGTTCAATGGAGCAGACACATAGACCAATGGAACAGAGACTCAGAATAGAGACTCAGAAATAAAGCCACACGTCTATAGCCATCTGATATTTGACAAAATCAACAAAAATAAGCAGTGGGGAAAGGATTCCTGATTCAATAAATCATGCTGAGATAGGTGGCTAGCCATATAAAGAATAAAACTGGACTCCTATCTTTCACCATATACAAAAGCTAACTCAAGATGGATTAAAGATTTAAATGTAAACCTCACACTATAAGAATCCTAGAAGAAAACCTGGGAAACACCATTCTGGACATCAGTCTTGGGAAAGAATTTATGACTAAGTCCCCAAAAGCAATCTCAACAAAAGCAAACATTGACAAGTGGGACCTAACTAAAGAGCTTCTGCACAGCAAAAGAAACTATTAATAAAGTAAACAGACAACCTACAGAATGGGAGAAAATATTCAGAAACTATGCATCTGACAAAGGTCTAATATCTAGAATCAATATGGAACTTAAATAATTGAACAAGCAAAACCCAAATAACCCCATTTAAAAATGGACAAAAGACACGAACAGGCACTTTGCAGAAGAAGACATACAAGTGTCTTCAAGCCAACAAACATATGAAAACACATGTGAAAAAATGTTTCACATCACTAATCATCAGAGAAATTCAAATCAAAACCATAATGAGATAACATCTCACACCTGTCAGAAGGGCTATTCCTAAAAAGTCAAAAAACAACAGATGTTAAGAAGGCTATGGAGAAAAGGAAACGCTTATACACTTATACACTGGTGGTGGGAATGTAAATTCAGCTACTGTGGAAAACAGTTTATAGATTTCTCAAATAACTTAAAACAGAACTACCATTAATCCAGCAATCCCATTACTAGGTGTATATGCAAAAGAAAACAAATCATCCTACTGAAAAGACATGCACTCATATGTTCATCACGGCACAGTTCACAATAGCAAAGACATGGAATCAACTTAGGTACCCATCAATAGTGGATTGGATAAAGGAAATGTGGTATATATACAGCATGGAATACTACACAGGAATAAAAAAGAATAAAATCATGTCATTTCCAGCAACATGGATGCAGTTGGAGGCCATTATCCTAATTGAATTAATACAGGAACAGAAAACCAAATGCCACATGTACTCACTTATAAGTCAGAGCTAAACATTGGATACTCATGGTCATAAAGAGGACAACAATAGACCCTGGGGACTACTAGAAGGGGGAAGTGGGTGGGCGGGGAAAGGGTTGAAAAACTAACCGTTGGGTACTATGCTCAGTACCTGACTGATTAAATCATTCGTAACCCAAACCTTGGCATCACACAATATACCCAAGTAACAAGCCTGCACATGTACCTCTGAATCTAAAATAAAAGTAGAAAAAGAAAAAGACAATAGCCTCTGGAAGAGATACTCCTTATTGGCAATATTCTAATCTCCTGAGTAAACCTGGCTAAACAATCCATTTTATTAGGCGTATGCATAAGCACATACAAAACAACATATATATTTTGAGAACATAGATCTATCAAATGAAAGTTTATTTAATTTATAGTGACAGTAACCAACTGTTTGTATAAGCTATCCTGTTAAGGTGTAAAATACGAAACACTCACCCCATGATTGTAAAATTTCACATCTCTAGATTAGACAATGGAATCTTCTATATTACACAAAAAGGCTCATAAAACTTCATATAAAACCAAAGGCTTTTTGATGCTATTTATTTAAGTACTAAAAATAGCCAAAGTATTTGATTCAGGAACTATAAAGAAAATGCTTGAGATTATTTGTAATCCTACAATGGTTTGATATCCTTTGTTTCCAAGGAGGACACCACTGACCCATTTTTGATAAAGAAAGAACTGAGTTATGTCTCTGGTAAGGGTGATGGATTATAATAATCTTTTGTAAAGTAAAGGTAAGTGGTATAATAAAATGATTTTTTTCTCTTTATGTGTAGAAGCCTGTATATGTTATGTTCTATAAATAATTTCCTAAAGCTTGAATATGAAAACAAAGCCATATCCTCCACCAGGTCTGGGTTATTTGGGAATAGGAGAAGTTAGATCATAGCGAGTGATACTCAGGTTTGGAAATGATTAGGAACTTGTATCAGTGCCGGCAGTTTTAACCATTTGACTTCTTTTGTTATAAATGATCACTATAGAGCTTTCTGATTACATTGATGATTCAGATTGCTTCTAAATAACTGACGACTCACCTTGCAGTCTGGTCATTTGCACTGCTAGATTTAAGTGAGTTCTCTAAGGCTTTATTTCTAATATTTAAACACTTTTTTCTGGTATTCAACTACCATAATTTTAACTGAATGCAAGGAAAAATATTTAAATATCGAATTGAGCCTGAAAATAAGGCATATAACTGAAACCCTACTCCAGTCAGAATGTTTTAAGAGTAAGAGAAAATTGGTAATTGGGCTTTTCTTGTGGAAAGTCAGAATATTTTATTTTATTTCAATTTGCAAGTTATTTTCACTATTGTCTCACATCATAGCCCAGCTCCATCAATAATATATGTAGTTAGTCACCTCTCCATAGATACTCTCCAGCATGAACAGGAATATTGACTGCACTTTATAGCAGCAAGCATTACTGCTATCAGTTTTCATATTTCAGTGGTTAAGTTGATCATCATTTAGGATAAGGATGATATTTTCTTTCAGCAGCTCTCCTATTTGAACTAATTAGCTTAAAAAATAAATAGGATAGGATTTTCCTCTCTGATACCAAAATACACTATCGGTGTATTAAATCAACATTAGAGCTTATTGCTGTTATTCATCCTCTTTGGTGGTATATAAAGGTGGTAGGGGTACTGGGGGAATCAAATTAAGATTCAGAGTCTGATTGTGCCTGAAGAACTGTGTTCCCCTCCTCTGTCATGCCCACTTACATGGGTTAATATGTAAAGGAGGAAGGGACTTTCAAAGAGGACGTTTGTTTGTTTGTTTGTTTGTTTGTTTCAGGTCTTAGAGGTAGAAGAGGAATCATAAGGAGAATGAGGGATGGA